TGTGCAGTTAGAAAGTTTACCCTGTTAACGCTGCTTTGATGCTTCTATTGCTGCTCGTAGCAATTGGCTTGCTATTGTACATACTCATTTCATGTATTGGAATTTCACTGCTTATGCCAGCATGTTTGTCATTGCCATTTCAATGAATTGGAAAACAGTGCTCCATTCTTCTGATTTATAACACTTAGCTAATATCTGAGAGCAACATAGGAGTGTGCAATTCTATTTATAGTGGATTCTTATGTGGTTTAGTTTCAGTTTTCACCTGTTAGTGAAACGAGGTGCTTAATATGTAAAGCAACTTTTTACTGAACATCGGTAATATTCAAGTTTATTATAACTTTCTCTAATGACTGCACATATGTGTATTTTCTACATCAGTACTGCATAGCTCAAAACTGCAAGTTTTGCTTACAATTTTGTAAATTGGAAATTATGGATGCTTTTAGTCTAAGTGTGGAACAAAGCAAAACAAAGGTACTCTTTAAATTGATATTTGTACAGCTTGAATGTTGAATTTAATGAAAAATAAGCATTTATCATGGAATTATTAAAAATCACTGTGATACTAATTTCCATTTGTATACAGTGTAGTTGTAGACAGCATAAACTAATTCTACAACTGTAAGGGCTGAGGAAATAGATTTTGAAAACATTAGTGAAAAACAATACTGTTGAGAGATTTCTGGTCTCTAAAATTGAATATTTAGGTTGCAAATACTTCTCGAATACTGCCTGTGCAGATGTCTGTCTTCATATTTATCTTGTTTTGATTAAAGCAAAGTGATTAAAGTGTGCTGGTCTTGATTTTTTTGACACTGACAAGGCACTGAAGCTTTATTGGTAAGCTGTAGGATGCTGTGGTACTTGAAGTGAACCTCATATTTCATTTGGATTAATATTTTAAACTGACCTCTTGTACGGACAGTTCCTACATAACTTAGGCTGATAGTTGGATAATCTTAGGGTGCTGATGACTTACTGAAGAATATTAGGAAGCTTATGCTAGAAGTAAAGCATAACTTCTGTTGCTGTGTTCTTTCAGGTACTTTGCAACTTTCTTTTCTGAGGCCATAAATCTCTGTTCACCTCTTCTAAATGTCTAATTTGTTTGTAGGAAGTATGAGGAATGAGTCGAGGCATGTTGAAGCTGTAGAAGAGGCAATCTGAAATGCTGCTGGATATGGTTGTTGGGTGCAGTGTTTGTGAGGGCTGTGGTTTGCCTCCAGGGTGCGTGTGTGGTCTGACTTGCCGGATGTTCAAACACATGGTGCCTGACAGAATTCGAGGGACCATGGCCAAAGAAGCTCTAGAGCTGAAGTTCAGGTTGTTGCAGAAGAGATGATAGATATCCTTGGTAGTGGTGTGATGCTGGGCAGAGATGTGGTTCCAATGTGCAGGTAATAAATTTCTGGTGAGAGGGACACTTCTGTAGTTGCCAGCATGAACCTTTTCAAATAGATGCAGCATGTACATTACACTTAAAGCATCTAGATTCCTTTTTTGATTCTAATAAAGCTTTAAATGGTTGCAAGGGGAATTTAATAAAAATTAGAGAACATTGATAAGTATGGAGGTGCTTACAATTCATCCCTTCAGATAGGACAGAAGTCCAAGATGAGGAAAGAAATAGCAAAGAGTATATTAGATAAAATTTTGGTTGCAATGCACACAAACTATATTCAAATACAGTACCTTGTCAACCAGAGTTGATGTAAGTTAAGATAGTTTTAGCTGATCCAAACTTGCATGTGAATTTTAATACGGTGTTTTTAAAGCTGATGGAAGAATGATAATCACAGAGATGCTAAAATATTTGTGCAAGTTAGAGTGAGCATAGACATTTTTGGTTAAGTAGTTACAGGTTAAAGAAAATCTTGAAGAGACAGGGTAAGTATTGAAATTGCTCTTGGTTCTTCTTTTGGAGGTGTTAAGTCTGAATAGAAGTAGTATAATGTAGTTGCAATACATTTGATCACTTCAGTACTTCAGTCATTCTAAGAGAGATGAGGCTGCAAAGAGGCATACTTGAAAATTATGTTGGTGGTACATCTGTTATGTTATGCTTTGAGCAGTTAGTCAGAGTTCAATAGAAAAGGGGCAGGTTTTGATATATATATATTTATAGTATATGAAACCCAGTTCAAAAAGTTCCTTATTTGGAAGAAGTATAGTAGTGGTGATGCAAATAGTTCATCTTTTGTTTAACTTAAGGAGAAGTAATTAAGGTCAGAGAAAGCAAGCTAAACAGGTGAACTGAAAACTATGTAAAAAAAAAAAAAGTTGTTAGCTGCTCAAAGTAAATGTATGCCAAATTTAAAAAAAAAAAAAAAAGCTGCACTCTTGGAGAATCCTAAAAAGTGTCAGCAGTAAAACAGTAAAGTAGGTTTCTGCCAAAAATTGATAGGTCTGCCCAAATGAGGGGATGTGAGAGAGATAAATTATACATTAAATCTAAACTGGTAATAAGGTTGGCTAATAAAGCCTTTGAAGATCAAATGTGTAGGGAGTTGAGAACTATTTATTTTAAAGAAGCAGAGAGCCTAGAATGGTTTAGGTAATTAAGTAACTATAAAGATATAAGTATATAAGGGAGCACAAAAAAACCCAGTTGGAATGTGAGACCATGATGGGGGGAGGAAAAAAGTGTTTGGTTTTGTCCTTCTTGGGGAGGAATGCTTCTTTATAGAGAAGGAGCCTCAGATTACAATTTTAGAATTTAATGCTAATTAAGATGATCAGTAAAAAAATGCAGGTAAAAGAACACTTATTCCCAGTCTTGTATTTTGGAATTTTTTACCAAAAGCAGTATGTAGCATATTGCTTAATTAGCCTTGCTCGCAAAGGACTGGAGGATAACAAACTGGTTTTTTTTACTTTTTTTTTTTTAAAACCAGTTCTGAAGTAACTGGTTTTCCCATTGTGTAAACTGATTAAAAACTATGGAGGTTAGAAGGAGCTGAGTTAAAACAATTAACTAACTAGGTGAACTTTAGAAGGAGGTGACATGGTTATCTGGAGAAAGCTCATACTCGTACACCTATGACTTCTAAGGTATGTGGGAAGCATGATGTGGTCTGTGTATATCACCTTGTTAACTGCATTTTGAAAATGTTATTTGTTAATGACTCTTCCTATCATATGATATTCTGATACAATAAAGGTTCTCTTGTGGTCTAATAGCTATTTTGAAAAGCTGATGAACAGCTAAAAATGTGATGAGTCATCCCCTAATGGAGGGAGGCCTTTGGTGGGGTGCATCATATTTTTAAAAAAACTGATCAAAGGAAGGTGACTAATAGACTCTTGGGGGGGAGTGTGGGGGAGAGAAGTAGCTGTTTTCCAAGTCTCTCTGCCTGCAGGAGGTTGCAGAAGGATCCCATTAATCTCATTGTAAATGAGACATAAAATCACATGTTAAGGCTGGTGTTAAAGTATTATGTGTATAGAAAAATCTTAACCAATGCTTCTTTGGTGATGATTTCTTGATTGGTCATTACCACACATAAAGATCTTTGAATTTCTGTGGACTATTCTATGAAAATACCAGGTGAATAGTGTTTGAAACAGTAGATAAAATGATTGAAAGTAACGAGAGAACAAATACAAAAGCTTTATCATAGAATCATAGAATCATTTGGTTGGAAAAGACCTTTAAGATCATTGAGTCCAACTGTACCTCTCCGTTACTAAACCATGTCCCTAAGCACCTCATCTATCTGTCTTTTAAATACCTCCAGGGATGGTGACTCAACCAGTTCCCTGGCTAGCCCGTTCCAGTGCCTGATAACCCTTCCGGTGAAGAAATTTTTTGTAATATGGAACATAAACCTCCCCTGGCTTGGCTTGAGGCCGTTTCCTCTCGTCCTGTCATGCTGCTGTATGAAGCAGTGCTGTGCTTGCAGCTAGATGCAGGTAGTTCTCCTTGCCCTACCTTAGAAACAATACAGCAGAACTGGAAAAGTAATACACAAAGGTGTGTGGACTAATCAGGGGTCTGGAACTACTTGGAGAAGAAATTAAATATGCCAATTTCAGAAGTGATAACAAAAGACCAGATGTATACTGTACCTGATTTCAGCTTTATAAAAACAAATGGTAGCTTTTTTTGCAATGGATCTATGCTTGATTAATGATAAAAGTTAAGTGACGAAAAGGGAATTTTGCGTAAGTAATTCCTTTTAATGGGAATTAGAAAATGTGTGTTCTAAAACTGTCTTTATAAACTGACAGTGCTTTAATTTTATACAGACACATAAGAAGTTCATGAAAAATGTCAGATGAATTTTGTCCTCTGGCAGAAGAACAGGGAAAAGCAGTGTGTACCCCTTATAGGCATAAGAGGAATTGCTCTTTTGCCACTTTGTGACTTTGCAGGCTGAAGTGGATGGAAACTTTAAACAGGGGAAGACATTTGCTTAAAATTTGCTTAGGAGTGTGGTCCCGTCTCCTAGTGGACCTAAGTACTTTGCTTTCCTTTGAATGTAATGGAGATTGCATTCATTGAAGTTCTAAATACCATTTATGTATATTGCTTATGTAAACCCATCTTTTTCATCACAACATAAATACACTAGGAACTAAAATATGATGGGTGCCTTGTTTGTGGAGTTTAGAGTTGGGGAGGAACCACCACCACTTCTGTGGTGTGCTTAGTGTTTGGTTAGTGATTTCATGTGTAAACCTGGTTAATGCAAGTCGTAGCTAATTTTGAGCTGTACCTGTTCCCATACTGTAGTTTACCACTTCTGGAAAATAACTTGGGCAGAGAATCTGTTCCAGAAAAATGTATTCTGATTGCAACAGTCTAGGTATAATCTCTGCAATCTCTTTTTCTTTTTTTTTTTTCTCCTGGAGTACATGTTAAAAAATGCTGAAGTTGGTAGGTTGGGGTGAGTCATGAGCCGCTTTCTTCAATATCATTGATTCATTTTTTTTTTCCCTTCACTCATGTATGCATTGGGTTTTTTTTTTTTTCCTTTCTGTTTTTTTGCCTGCAGGAATTCCTTCAGTCTGTAATCCAGGCATGGTACCAGTGGCGATACCACCTCCTGCAGTGAACCCTCAGCACCTGTGTAATGAAGAGGACCTGAAATCTATCCAGGACATGTTTCCCAACATGGACAGGGAAGTAATCCGCTCAGTGCTAGAAGCTCAGAGGGGGAACAAGGATGCAGCTATCAACTCCTTGCTTCAGATGGCTGAAGAATCGTAGATCCCTACTTCCTGCATAGTCCCAGTCCTTGATGCCACTTCTTTTTACTTGCCAAGCCAGGGATTTAGCTAGAGGAAGAATTTCCCAACAGCTTTCTGTTAGCGCATCCTGTGTGAAAGATTATACCTCTTTTCTCCGTGGACGTTTGGATCTTTTTCACTTTCTTTCTCAATCTGTACATACTCAGTTTAGCTTATGTCCTACAATATAGCATCAAAGCATCGTTACTATCAGCTGTGCCCTGTGTGGCTATATTCTGATGGGATGGGGAGTAATGCTGCTTTTTTTTTTTCTCCTTTTCTCCCCCTTTTCATAAACTTGTTCTTACAAAGTAACTCTATGCAGTACAGGATTTACTACTGTTTGTTAGACTGAATTTTATTTTTCTGTGGAGGGTTTGCTCTTTAAACATAACTGATTTGTTAAAGTATTTGGGTTTCATCAAGCAGTCTGTTTCTACCAGAAATTAAAAGAAAGACCCTTTCCTTATCTGTGGTGTTTAGTTATTGCTGTGATATGTTCAGCTGTTTCTGACTGAAGATTTTTAATTTAATAAGGTAAATTTCTTAGGTTGCGCTGTTGGTATTTGTAATGAGCATCTTCTATTCAATCTAGTCATCGGGCACCAAAGCAATATATTATCTGGTGTGCATTTGGAGCTTTGTCCTCCCATATAGTATTGTTATGTATCTGTAAAATCTTAAAGGGTTTTAACTTGTACAGCATGTATTGCTGTAGCAGAAAAAAGGACTGAGCCCTAATGTACTCCCACAGTTAATTGCACTCTAAGTACTACTTCTGCATTCCCATGGCTATTTCAAAGAATAAGTGCAGAAGGAAAGATTTTTATATCTGAAAAATTACTGAAGCCATAAACAATTATTTAAGGTATTGTCTTACATTAAAAAAGCAGAAGTCTATGATCTGGTTATAAGGCTTCTTTCTTTACACCTATATTTCAGCAAAACTATTGTTTTATATCAGTGGAAAAACTATTGTATTTTTTTCCTGTAATCTGAAAGGAGAAGCATGAAAACTAGCTTCAAAATCTTTGAATGGCATTGAGTTGCTCAATGACTTCTTAGGCTATGGTTGCTGTAGTCAATTTATTATTTGACGCAGATGGAACTAAATTCGTTGTGAGAGAAAATTAACATATCTGAGTTATAGTCTGATCCTATCCTCTCAAAGGAGGTTGTGGGTTGCTTGTATTTATTAGTGTTATTTTTTTCAGATAACAGTTCATGTTGGAGCTGCAGAATCTTACAGTATGCACCAGTTACTCCTGTTGGATAAATCTCTATGGTGTCTGTTTTTGTAGCTGGTAAAGTAATGCACTTTAAATAGTATGCACCGGTTTATTTTTCCAGTGATGTGCAATGTTGCTGTTTTATCTTTTTTAATGTTCAATTTCAAATACTTTCTACAATAGCCATAGACCTTTATATTTTCAAGAGTTGGAATGAATGTACACTTGAAATCTAGGCTCTTGAGTGATCCATGAGAACATTAAAGCCAGGTTTGGAATAGGGAAAAGGGAACCATATTCTCTTCTTCCCCACACTTTGTTTTGTCTCATGCTTAAAATATTTTCTTTATCTGCTGAAAAGCTGATTTTATCCCCCCTTCAAGACGCCTTTAGGTAGCACTGGCATTAGAGCATGAATATTTATTTTTTTATGGTTAAAAATGATACTGAAACTTTTAAAATACAGCACCAAAAATCATCCGAGTTTCTGGCCTTTTAAAGCTGTCTTTTCATAATGTACAATTTTAAGTTCTGTTATGAATCCCTTACCATCTTAAATTTACCATTGAAAGCATAAGTGTCTTTATACATCCTCCAATTGGCTTTTCAATAATGAGATTCAAGGCTTCTATGTGCTTTAGTCGCCACATTTTTATTTTCTAAAATAAAACAGGTCTTCATCAAGAAACTGGTCTTGCCCCTTCCCTACAATTATGGTAAACTTTGTGATTGAGCAGGTGTAGAGTCATTTGGTCTTTCTAGCACAGTTATTTGTGACATTGTCACCCAAAAGAGTAAATCTTGGTAAGGATTTAATGCTTAGATATCTCCAGGAAGAGTCCCTTGCTCTAACTTTTACACAGATGGCATGAACTGCTAGGGATGAAACAATTCAGGGAAAATGTATATATTTAAATTTTTATATTAAAACGTTGGGATCCATAATACAGCTTTTTATAAAAGCAAGTGGTCATGGTTCAACTTAAGGGCTGGTAAATTGTACTGCATCCTATTACAGCTCGATTTCAAGCACGGAATAAACACCTTTCAATCCTAACCACCGGGAGGGGTAAGTGCAAATGTTAGGTTAGCCAGGTTTATTCATAAACAAGGCTCTGGGCCTCTGAGGGAGGCTCCTGTTCTTAGAAATTTTTTTTGTTTGTTTTGTTCTAGGCAAATGTTAGGCAAAACAGGGTCGAGGTATGAGTTGAAGATGGGATATGTAGGAGCAGTATGGCCAGTAGATGGGTTTCATGTTACACTATACTTAAATACTGTTCTGGGGATTTTTTTTGTCTTGAATTAATTAAGCATTATAGCTGAAACTCTTATGTCAAGATGTGCTACTTTATCGTGTTAAAAAGAACAAAACACTGATCATAAGTCTACTCAGCTTTTCAGCATACATATCCTCTCAGTCAAACTGTTCGTTGTCAGGTTTGAATTGGAGAGATGAAAAAAGTCAGGGAGTGTATTCTAGGGTCTGTGAAATTAAGGTATTGGAACTGAAAGTCTGTTTCTTGATTTAAAACAAATAAATTGTCACTCATTATGATTGTAGCTTTTGACAAAATGCTAATGGAATAATTGTGTGATGCTGCTCTTCTGCTCAACAGCTTCAAGCAGCTTGGAGCCAAAGCCAGCTGTATAAGACTGGCATCTGCTAAAAGTTACTGTTTTTATTACTAGTTTGAGTCCTGCCAAGAGCCTAAACTTGCTAAAGGTAGGAACATTTTTTGTCTAGCTAGATCCTTGCTAACAACTTCTCTACTGCTCTTTGCATCTGCTGATGGTACTGAATGTTTTTTCCTTTACAAATGTTACTGCTTGTTTGGTTGATATGTAATACCATACAGAGGATGTTTTTCGCTGTAATAATTCTGAAGACGTTGTTTCTCTGTATCGAGGTCCAGTATCCAAATGTGTTTCTTGCACTCTAAAGTACATTAACTTTTTCATTCTAATTTAATAAATGTATCCTCTAAATGAAAGTGTATTATGTCTCTGTTGGAGAGCACCACAATGTGAGTCTATAGACTGCTGTAGAATTCAGGTATCAGTTACTGTCTTTTACTCAGTCGTGCACGTTAGTTAACAAGTTACACTGGTTCTTAATGTGATAGTCTGGTGGGATTAGTACAGTAAAAGTATTTTAAATATTCATCTCTAAGATGTCTTTGTCTAACTCTTCTAGGTGCTACTTTCTCAAGAAAACGTTACACTATTGCAGGTCTAGAGGACAGAATGAGGGAATACTGGGGTTGCATTGTTTGAAAGACAGCGTTGGAGGGCAAAGGAGGAGGGAAGAATAGTGTGTGGTATGGAGGAAATGCTCTTCATTATGAAGGGGTTGAGAACTCTAGGCGAGAGTGGTGTTCAAGTGAAGAGTTATGAAACAGACCTTGTTATGTGCTATTTAGCTACAATAAGAGCTGGCTTTATCTGCTCATATATAATTAATGAATTTTAAAGATTTGGTTTACATAGCATTGCTTTTTAATTCTATGATTGACTGTAAAGCTATCTGAGGTCCTCTTTCTCATTTAACAGCATTGCTATCTATGCTCAGTGATTATTAATCAACTGCTAGTCTGTAGTATTTAGTGTATTATCAAGCTAACATTTCAGGTTTTACCATCCAGTTCATAGTATGGTTTTTATCGGGAGTTAATTTTTTTGACAAACAGTAGTTGGGAGGAATCTTTCACAACTGAATTTCCTCGTTTATTTCGTTAATGTACGTAGCACCTACTACAAAATGCAGTGGTTTAAATTGTGCTTTCTGCTAGCCCTTGAGTATCAGTTTCTATCCCAGTTTATGTTCTAAAGCTTAGTTTGCTTTTACATTTCTCCAGTGTACTGTGAGAGATAAGAAAAGTAAGAGTTAATTTACTTAAACAAATGTTGGCATTCTTGTGGCTGCTAAAGCATCTATTTAGCATTTTAATATTTATTAGCTTTTTAATTTCAATGCTAATCAACCAGTGATGATGTGTGGGTGTGTAAAGAGAAATCAGTGTATTTTGAATTATTAAAATGTTTAAGTACATTAATGAGAGCAGGACCTCTAGGAATAAATTTTCTTAGCATAAGTAGGAAAAATGAAAACCCATATTAACCATCTTCTCTGCTGCAGTTTTAAGTTGTAGCCTACTGAAGACTTCAGCCTTCTCCCCTAGGTCTTCATGAAGCTTATTCAGAAACGTATGTTGATCTATTTTCATACTACAGTATATTTTAGATGGATTTTCTTTACTATCTTGCCAAAAAGTGTAATTAATTTTGTAAGAACAAATAGTCTGTACTTATGGTATGCAATAACTTTTGAAGTAAAATTTGCATATAGGTGGGAAAAGTAAATTTGTGGAAAGCCAGTAGATTGAAACTGATCTTAACTACATCTGTGTTTCCAGGTGTGGGAGAACTATGAAAGTATTGCTGTTTGGAGTATTCAAAGAATTCAGTTAGAACATGTTTTTAACTGTACTAATCTGGAATATGAAGCTGATGAGATACAATGGACAACTTTTATAATTTTAATGCATTTATCATTAGAAGAGAATGCAGGATGATCCAATTTATTTTAAAATTATCTCCAATTGTAAAATAACTACAGTGAGTGAAAAAGTACCCTGAACTTATCTTCAATGTCTGTGTTCTTTATGGATTAGATTCGGGAGCTTGGTACTGTGTCACAGGACAATGTTTTTCCACCTTAAATGCATAGTTTTTATAATACTAATCAGCTAAATGTGGAGCATTCAGGTTGATTTGAAATGCTTAATGCTATTTTAACACTTAAGTAATTATAAAAGTGCACATAGTGGGGGGAATGGCAACAAGTTCCTGCCCAGCACAGCAGGCATCTTCTCCATGACTACCCTACCTTCCCAGGTGCCCTTGCATAATAGGTACAAGGCTCTACAAGTGGAACTAAACAATGACAAGGACGATGGTTCATCTAGGCTGGAGGTGTCGTCAAGGTTAAGTTGACCTGTGCCCTGCATCAAAACCACTTCCATAAAAAAAAAAAAGACAAGTTATTGTCATAGGAGACTCTCTTCCGAGAGGAACAGTTCTTGGGGAAGTCTGCTGCCTCCTCGGGGCCTGGGCTAAAGATGTGATGCTAAAACTTGCTACCCTGGTATGGCCCTCAGATTATTATCCATTATAGATTCTTCATGTAGGCAGTGATGAACTTGCAATAAGTCCAAGGGCAATGAAAAGAGACTTCAGGCCCTTGGGACAACTGGTTAAGGGACTAGGAGCACAAGCAGTGTTCTCCTCTATCCTTCCAGTTGCAGGGAACGCTGCAGGAAGAAACAAGAAGATCCAGCTGATCAATGCCTGGCTCCATTACTGGTGTCACGAGCAGAATTTGAGGTTTTTTGACCATGGATTGGTCTGCATGACACCAGGCCTGCTGGCAACAGATCAGATACACCTGCCTCAAAGAGGAAAAGGATCTTTGTGCAAGAGTTAGTAGGGCTCACTGGAAGAGCTTTAAGCTAGATTTGAAGGGGGAAAGGGACAAAGCTAGGCTTGCTAGAGGTAAGCTTGGCAGCAGCATGCCAATGAGGGATGGTGTGCTAGCAAGGTCTGTCAGCCTGCTCCACAATGTGCTGAGTACACTGAAGCACATTTGAAATGTCTTTATGCTGATGTGCGCAGCATGAGGAATAAACAAGAGGAGCTAGAAGCTTTGGCCCAGTCCCAGAGCTACAACATCATTGGCTTAAGCGAAATCTGGTGGGATGTGTCCTGTGGCTGGTGTGCCATGATGGATGGTTAGGCTCAGGAGGGATAGGCAAGGCAAGTGAGGCTGGGGGGTGGCACTGTATGTAAGGGAGGGTTGGATTATGTGGCGCTTACAGTTGGCAACAATGTGGTTGAGAGCCTCTAGTAAGGAAGAAGGGGAAAGCAAATAAAGCGGATGTTCATGTGGGAGTCTGCTATCAACCACCCAGCTGGGATAATGGCACCAATGAACTATTCTACAAGAAATTAAGGGGTATCTCTAGATAACTGCCCTTGTCCTTATGGGTGATTTTAACTTTCCAGATGTCAACTGGGTACATCATACAGTGGACACAAACAGATCCAGGAAATTCCTGAAGCACATTGAAGATGGCTCCCTTAGTCAACTTCTTGGTGTAGGTACTAGGAAAGGTGCCCTCCTAGATTTGTTCATAAACAGAGAGGGACAGCAGAATTCAAGCTGACCAGCACTGTGTGGAGGACAACAAAAAGGGCTTTGTAAAATACTTAAACAGCAAAAGGAGGAGGATCAGAGATGGTAATGTCTGTTGCTTAATGAGGTCAGTCACCTTACAAGTAGGGATGTAGACAAAGCAGACATTCAATGCCTTCTTCACCTGTCTTGAACACTGAAGATGGGCCCTGGGGGATGTCCAGAGCCCTATGTTGGAACACTGTGACTGGGGGGATGATAAACTCCCAGCTGACTCTGAACTTGTTCAAGACTTGCTCTCCAGCTGGATGCACATAAATCTGTGGGGCCTGATAGGATTCTTTCCCAGGGTACTGAAACATCTGTCCTATGTTGTCACAGAACCTCTCCCCATTATTTTTCAACTGTCTTGGGAGTCTGGAGAGGTCCTGGTCAACTGGAAGCTGGCAAATGTTGTCCCAATTTTTAAGAAGGGAAAGAAGGAAGACCCTAGTAATTACAGGCCTGTCAGTCTCACTTTAGTGCCTGGTAAAATTATGGAGAAGGTTATTCCAGAAGTTATTGAAAAACACTTGAGAGACAATGCAGTCATTGGTCACAGTCAGCAGGGGTTCATAAGGGGAAAGTCCTGCTTAGCTAGCTTAATCCTTTATGACAAGGTCGCCCATCTAGTTGACCAAGGGAAAACAGTAGATATGGTGTTTTGGGATTTTAGCGAAGCCTTTGACGGTGTCTCTCATGATACCCTTCTGGACAAAATGTCCAGCACACAGCTAGACAAGTCCATAATATTCTGGGTGAGCAACTGGCTGGCAGGTTGGGCTCAAGGAGTTATAATAAATGGGGTTACATCAAACTGACAGCCAGTCACCAGTGGGGCTCCCTAGGGCTCAGTTTTAGGGCCAGTTCTCTTTAGTTTTTTTTATAAATGGCGTGGATGAAGGAGTCGAATGTATGTTAAGTTTGCCAATGATACTGAACTAGGACTCCCTCAAGGGTAGAGAGGCCTTACAGAGAGATCTGGATAGGCTAGAGAGCTGGGCAATCATCAACTGTATGAAACATAACAAGAGCAAGTGCCAGATTCTGCACCTGGGAGGGGGTAATCCTGGTTATGTATGCAAATTGGGGGATGAGAGGCTGGAGAGCAGCCCCACAGAAAGACATCTGGGGTTTGGGTTGATGGCAAGTTGAACAGGAGTCAACAGTGTGCCCTGGCAGCCAAAACTCCCAACTATGTCCTGGGCTGTGTCAAGCACATCATAGCTAGCCAGCTGAGGGAGTGATTGTCCCACTCTACACTGCACTGGTGTGACCTCACCTTGAGTACTGTGTGCTGTTTTGGGCACCTCAATATAAGAAGGACATCAAACTATTAGAGTGTGTCCAGAGGAGGGTGACCAAGATGATGAAAGGTCTCAAGGGCAAGACTTATGAGGAGCAGCTGAGGTCACTTGACTTCTTCAGTTTGGAGAAGAGAAGGTTAAGAGCTACAACTTCCTCAAGAGGATCAGTGAAGAAGGAGATGCTGATCTCCTCTCTCTGGTGAACAGCGATAGGACACAAGGAAATGGAATGAAGCTGTGTCAGGGAAAGTTCAGAACATTAGGAAAAGGTTCTTCGCTGAGAGGGTGGTCAGTCCCTGGAACAGGCTCCTGAGGGAAGTGGTCATGGCATCAAGCCTGTCAGAGTTCAAGGCGCGTCTGGATGTCACTCTTGGTCATATGGTTTAATTTTAGGTAGTCCTGCGAGGAGCAGGGAGTTGGACTTGGTGGTCGTTATGGGTCCCTTCCAACTTCAGATATTCTGTGATAGTAGCTTTTATTTAGAGCTAGCTTACTAGATGTAATTCCCTTTATAAAATGGAATTTATTCTGTTCTCAGATGGCACAGTATGAATTAACAAGCTTGCTTGTTATCACAAGATTAATATTTTTTATTTTAATGTGTGACTTGTAAATAAACAGGCCACAATTTCAGTTTAATTTCATGGCTCGGTGATAAGTCTGAGAGTCCAGAAGATGCTTCATATAGTTTTAAACAATACAGCTGTGCTTGGAATAAATCTTTGGGAAGCTAGAGATCCAGATTATAATATCTGAGAATAGTACCAGTTCAGCTCCTCAACTTCAAAGTGTCTAGATTTTGAGCTTTATAAAAAGGAGGTTTATACATTTGCGCTATTTCTAATGAATTTCCAATGGTGACTTTTATGGTGACTTCTTATCTGGGCTTGATCCTTTCATTTTCTATCATTTTTAAGGAATCATTCATCACTCTGCTTGTCCTAGTAGATGTTTCCAAGCTTGAAACCTTTTGTAGTCGGTCTGTTATTAATCAGCCTGTCTCATGGGGTTTTTTTGATTGTCATACATAATGCTTTGTTTGTTTGCAGATAGTGAGGCATTGAAGAACATTGAACACCGGAAATCAGATGTGCAGTTCCAGCACAGCCGTAGCACTACTGAAGAAAATACAAAACATAAAAGGCTGTAACAGCGTGGTTTTAATGCCACAGAATTTTGTAGTAAGTTCAAAACTCCCATTAACTTAGAAATAGTGTTATAAAATACGGAGAAACTCCTCAACAACTGGGGATGTGTGCTATTTCTTCATCTTTTCACTTCAAATGTTTGCTACAGTGGTGAAGGGTTAAAATGTTTAGGTTTTAGTAATAATTTTCTTCATCCCAAATATCCTAAGTATTACAAAAAAAATTACTACTTGAGTTATTTTTTACAAAGCATAAATTTGAATCTTAAAATTTCTAATTGGTTAGAAAGGGTGGGGTCATGTACAGCTTAGAAGTTCTTAGATTGCATCCCTCATTTTGAGTTGCTACACTATCTATGCGCACAACTGGCAAGGGATTTCTCATGTGCTGTTTCATGTTACCTTGCTCTTAGGTATGA